AATCTTGGTGACCACAAGCAATGGACGCCTTTATCGCTCCCTATCCGGTTGTAAAAGGGTTATTGAGAATGGTCGAGTAGGAGAAGAAAAATTGCCGACGTTGGAATTGCGGAGATCGTGACACACTTGCGCACTACCCTATTATTAGGTGTTTAGAGTTCTCTAAATGAACAAAAGGTAGAAAAGACGTTGAGGAAATTCGCAAACAGGGGCTGTAGAAGAACTTTTTTTTTGAAAATCTGGAAGAGTTGAGGAAAACATAGAAATAAAGTTATTAAAGCGACTTCTCATTTTTCGAAAAAAATTTGCAAGGCTCTAGAATTTCTTCATATTCTCTCCTCTAACCTTACTCTTGAGACCTCTTTTACAATGAAAATAATACGACTATGAAATTACTGGAAAATATTCTCAAGTTTCATCATTAAGCTACTTCTCTTTTAAAGTAAGATCAAGAGGAAAAAAAGCTAATTTGATCATAGTTTTCTCCTCTTACATGGTTCTGGTTCAAACTCAAACGAAACAAGAAGCTCAGCGCGTTTGCAGGAATTACAAGCTTCCCTTTCAAGAACATGGCATTTTGTAATCACTACAGTTTTTTTGGCAAATGCAGAGCATTTGAATTGAAAAGATGGGCATGGAATTTTGATGCGCAACTGAGTATGCATAGATCTGAAGTAATTTTTACATTTCTAAAACCAAAAATGATAATATTTTTTGGATAATTTGCTTACACTCTACCTATGGAGTTGACTCTTCATGTCATTGGAGATTTGCCACGGCTATCGTTTGAGCCTTCAGTTCGATCGGGCTTCTACGATTGTTGAGCTTTGAGTAACTCAAAGCTAAGTTTACCAGCAGGATTTCTATGGAGAACTCAAAATGCAATCGAGCATGTTAAGAACTGCTGAGATTGATACTAATTCGAGGTAAACTGGAATACTTTAGTGCTAATCAAATTTGATTGGGTTAGCTAGTGAATAAGTTGAGTATGTTGCACAGTCATATGCAAACTATCTAAATGTATATCTTTGAAAACCTGTTTGAGACTGGAACTTCTGTCATGGCATTGTTAGGCAGGCCGTAATGTTTCGTATATGCTCAATTTCCAGATGGGAATGAGCGTCGCCTCAACGGCTCAGTTCTAGCTCCAATCGAAGACAAAGCTTATCAGTTCTTTGGTGCCACGGTAAAATCCAACAAAAAACACGACAAGCTGATTGTGAGTTTGATTTGCTTCTCGTTTTATTTTTGAAATTCAAAGGGATTACTCTATTGTAGATGTGCGCACCCAAGTACAAGTACTTCTTCTCGAAGTTTGAGGTGATTGAACCAGTTGGAACTTGCTTTTTCGTTGAGCAAGGTTTTACAAAGACTCAAGAGTTCGCATCTTGTCGTCAAGAACGTAGGTTACAGTATCTAAATTTTTTCTTGGTGGTTACGGTAGTTGTTTGTAGCTGCTCGACACGGTAGACATCGTTTTGGTTACGGACAATGCGGGTTCTCTGCTGCTTTACCAGATAGATACCCGAGAGGAGATGAACGGGTATGGGAAAATAATTCAGAAAAGAAATGGCCCC